AAGTTGAAACCATATCCTTCAGCAAAAGAGGCAAGAGTGCATCAAGTATTGTATGAGCAAGAGGAACTTCATTACCATGGATAAGAAATTAAAATTATTAGAGAAACTAAATCATGGCTGGGTAGGCAAGTTGCTGGCAGAGGAGTATGGCATTGGTGTTTACCGTTTATGACATTGGGAGCCGGTCGGCCGAGCGGACAGCACACTGAACTTGTGATTCTGTGGTCCCGGGTTTGATCCCGGGCGCCGGTGAGAAACAATGGGCAGTTTCTTTCACCCTATGCCCCTGTTACCTAGCAGTAAAATAGGTACCTGGGTGTTAGTCAGCTGTCACGGGCTGCTTCCTGGGGGTGGAGGCCTGGTCGAGGACCGGGCCGCGGGGACACTAAAGCCCCGAAATCATCTCAAGATAACCTACAACAGCAAAGAAATTAGATTTATGAAGTGTGTGAGAAAAAGGGAGGGATTGGCACAAAAACATAACAATCTAAGTATGTACCTGTACTGAACGAGAATTTAGATTAAACCATTCATGCTCAGTAGTGGTTGAACAATGAACACTAGAACCTGGATGTTATTTTAGCACTCTTGGGAGAATTAGTTCTTGTGGTGAACTTCAATAAATCTCTCCCCTCACAGTGACTTACTGTCTTGTTATGAAGGTACTCCCATACTTTGTTCACTGGTTTGACACAGGTACTTTGTTCACTGGAACAAAACCTGTGTCACTTCTTGCTTCTCCAGCTTAAGCACTAGTCTCTAATGGAGTACTGTGCCAAAATGCTTTCTGACAATCCCAAAATCAAAATCTACCCTCTCTTCATTGTGTTGTCTGATTTCTGCCACCCAGACACAAAGCTAAAAATTTGAATCACTATCTACCATCACTGAACCCATGCAAGTGGTGCATTACAGTCCCCTCTCTCCAGATGTGCCCCTAGCCTCCTCTCATAATCTTCATCTTGCATGGTGTACAAGATTGTGTATACTCTGATACACATTTCCATATAAAAAATAATGAAATATTTGGCATTCCTTGGGTACTTTTATACTAGCGTAGCATTTTCATTTAATAATTACATACCATACTTAACTTGTACAGTGCAACCTCGGTTGATGATTGCCCTAGAGTACGAATTTTTTGGTTGACGATGTCAAATTCATCGTAAAATTTGAATTGCTGTACCATGGTTTACTTGGAAGACTACGTCTGTTCATACGCGTATGGGTCAAACGAGCGCGTGGTGCTGGGGGCGCAGGGCGAGGCACTCTCGGTGTGTTTACAAGTCTATCCTGCGGCTGCGCTTGAATTCTTTGTGAAGAATTTCATAGTTTGCCTACTTTTTTGCTTTAACATAAAAGTTCTTATTAACTATATATATCATGCCATGGGTCCCAAGAAAGTCAGTGGTAAAGTCCAACCTAAGAAAATAATTGTGAGAATGACTATAGAGGAAACACAAGAGATCATTCGTAAACATGAAAATGTTATGAGGGTCGTTGATGTAGAGTAGAGGATGTCCCTTCCTCATTTATTAAGAAAATGTGTGCAGTATGGGAAGAATTGCAAAGTTTTGCTGAAAAGTGTCACCCAAATCAAGCTGAAGCAGGCCGTTGTGTTGACCTTTTAAATGACTGATGTTTCACTTGAGACAAGTGTTACAATGTAGCGGAAAAACAAGTGTCGCTTGACAGGTTTTTAGTGAGAAAAACCAAGCAGTGAGCCACAAGCAGGTCCTAGTGGTATGCAGGCAAAACATAGAAGAGAGAGGGAGTACCCCAGAAAAGTCATCACTGCCTGATGCAGGCGATGAGTCACAATAACGTGGCTGAAGTATGTTGACCAGACCACACACTAGAAGTTGAAGGGACGATGACGTTTCGGTCCGTCCTGGACCATTCTCAAGTCGATTGTGACTTGAGAATGGTCCAGGACGGACCGAAACGTCGTCGTCCCTTCAACTTCTAGTGTGTGGTCTGGTCAACATCACTGCCTGATGTTATAATGGACGGGGGACTTCCCTTCCAAACACTAACACCTCTCCTCCTCACCGACTTCCACACGCTAACAAGAATCCTCATTCAAGGAAAGATATATATACAGTACAGTATTGTAGCTAGTTCAAAATGAGTGTTATTCGGTATAAAATGTATTTTTAAGCTAATATTTTTGGGGATGTGGACCGGATTAATTCAATTTACATTATTCCTCATGAGAAAATTTGTTTTGGTTGACGACACGTCTCTGGGAATGGATTACAATCTTAAATGAAGGTACCACTGTCTATGAAAATTGTCAAAGAATAACCTTCAAAAGCACAATACATAATTAGTTTAAAAAATAAAAATTAGGTATATACTGTACGTACAATACTGTACCGATTAAATAATTTTATCTGCAGATACTGTACTTCATTTGCAGATAAAATGTTATTGTTAGATCACATTTGTGATATGAAAAACCAATGATAAGAATTACCAATGTTTATCTTCACTACACACTTAATGTTGTTAATTTATGGGGAAAAAAATGAGGGAAGCCTTATTTTTCCTCTCGCATTAACGATCATTTTGTCATGTTTATACTTCAACCCCCACACACACTACTGGCAGTAATCAAGCAATTTCTTCTAGCAATTGGTTCTTAACACATTACATGATGAATCCCCTCCAATGATTTTTTCCATTTCACAACTTGCAAATAATCCTGCATTTAAAGAACGTATTAAATTAGGACACCAGAGTAAGTGGAGTAGGAAGAACAAAGTGGCAGCAAGAAACTGGTACGAAGCGTGTGTTAGCCACCCGCTTGTTTGGAAAAACTGTACTGTACATCGTGTATTGGAGAATATCAATATCGCTGCTTATGTTTACAATGCTGTCAGTGCAAGAAAATGAGTGAGGTTAGCACAATAAACTCTCCCACATACACTACTACATGCATATAATATATACTGTACTGTAGAACGTAGATGGGCGAGAGTGTCACACCATGCAATGCACGACAAATAAATATCGAGAAACGGCATGGCTTTGGTTGTGACAGCTAAGAAAGTTAATAAATACTAGTATGAAAATGGGGGTGATTGAAGGATTGTTAAGCAACACACAAACACACATACATACATATACTGTGTGTATATGTATTTATGTATGTACGTACATGCGCACTCGCTCACAAGGAACACCTGCTGCCCGGCTACAAATACACACATATATATGCACATTGTACTTATACATACATACATACATACATACATATATTTATATATATATACATACATTCATACACATATCACTGGGGTTAAATGCTACTAGCTCGGCAAAAAGCATAAGAATGACAAATAGGTCCGAATTTATGAAGTGAAAAATATTCAGGAATTATTTTAATTTTTACATTTGTTTATTTACATTAAAATTAATATATGTATCTTATCCAATAAAAAAACCTAAAAGTATTAAGGCCTTCTCTTTCAACAGGCTTGTTTGGTGTGCCAACTACACAATATTTACAAATGGAATAGCCACACTTGTTCTGGAAGAGAAAAAATTGTGAAAACAAGATCATTTACGTATGATATCAACTCAAGATCTCAAGATACGACTGCAAACCCTCGGGTAGGTTCACAGTCTAACAGCCCCTAGTAGAAAAATAGCTATCCAAAATATTAGCCAAAAATGCACTGTGCTACATTTGGAAACATTATCTATACCGTAGATCACAATCAATTTATGCTCGGAGTGGAGAGGCAAGACATGGCAATAAATTAACTAAACAGTACTGAAAATAAATCGTTTTAAGTGCTGTTTAGCCAAATACTTCCCCTCCCCCCTCCCCCCAATGTTTAGTATATTTCATTTGTCTCAAAATTCTGTATCGTCAATTTACAAACATTTATGAATAAAAAACATTTAAATTTGAACCAAAAGCATTGAAAATAAGATTTAATTTAAAGAACATGGAAAGGTTTATCATACATTTAGTGAGATCTACAGTTCCTAAGACTCAAAATATATACAAGAAATAAAATCCTAGTATCAGATTATATTCATAATGTCAAAAGCTATCGATCCTATAGACTCCTTGCACCGATGCCATGCTGGGGGGTCAAACAAAACTGCGTTCAATTTATAATGACACCCTCACCCTAATTGGGTGTCATTTATAATGACACCCAATGACAGTACTGAGCTTTTCCTACAGTTCTAGAGACAAGAATGACCGAGACGCTCTATAGAGTATCTTTTTTTTGCTAGTTATTTTTCCCTCAACAGCTCGATATTTACATTTGACATTGTAAATATAAACATAGTGCCATTTAACCTCCCCACAGGTGGTTGTGTCACATACAAGGCCACAATACTAATAATCATCAAACTTCACAAATTAATTACCTCTTTTTAACATAAAAACACAAGAGCTTGAATGAATACGTCAGATACTATGATACAACATGAATGTATAGTACAGTTCTACAAATTTGTAAATTTCATTGTACAAAATTACTGTAAATGATCATAGTTACCAAAATCTGAGTTCTTATCTCCATATAACAATACCAATGTCAAAAATGCAGAAATAAAAGCATACACATAAGCTCCTCATTCTCAACATATGAGGACAAAAGCGCTTAATTCTTAATTTATTTTGTTCTCGGGTCATGATACCAGTGCGTTGATCAGGGGGTCAAGGGGTCATGCAGATAATTAGGGCTTTTGTGGAAGTGGAATTAAATTATTTTTATCTACCAATTGGTGATCAAAAGCATTGATAAATGTGCTCAAATGAGTGTACTTTGGTAATCCATAATGAATAAACTATAAATGTGGAAATTCCAGATTTTTTATGAACATTGGCAGGCTTTAAGAACAAATCCACAAGGGCCGTGACGAGGATTCGAACCTGCGTCCGGGAGCATCCCAGACACTGCCTTAATCGACTGAGCTACGATAGGGTTAAAAGGCAGTGTCTGGGATGCTCCCGGACGCAGGTTCGAATCCTCGTCACGGCCCTTGTGGATTTGTTCATTTGATGCATCACGTTATTATGATCTCTGTGTGTGATTGGCAGGCTTTATTTTTAATATTATTAAGCCAACACACACCTTTCCAGAAGTTAAAATTCTGAATAATGTATTCCAAATCTGCAGAGCCCCTAGAGAAGGAGCATTATATCACTTATAATGAAACACCATGATGAGATAATGACTAGAGCCAGAAAAGTGTCAGCCTTGCAGTGCAATTCACTTCATATAATGACTTTGAAAATAGTGCACCTTAAAAAGGGGGAAAAAAATCAATACTTGAGTTTCTTCAAACCTGAATTCATTACACCGCTGAAATACCGTTGATAGTATACAGTCAATTTCTCATGAACAAATGTCAAAACCATCAATTATTATTATTATTCAGAATATAAAGGAAATGTTCATGAAATGACAGGAGAAAGAATCCAGGTGCAATCAATGCCAAACAAAACCAAAACTCAATAAACCATTATAAATGAAAGTTAATCTAAAATCCATTAAATTACATTTTAGTACGAAAAAGCACAGTCTCCCAAATTCACACAATAAATTACCAACCTAATGCAACAAATTTCATACATTTAAGGTTGTACTCATGTCCCAAGAATGCTGTGAATGATATGCTTCTGTTAACCAAATAATGAATGCACCACAAAACCAGCTGTTGTAAGAACTGAACCTTGCTATTTTGCACAGCACCAATTTTCCTATACGGTAATTCATTTGATACTTATATATGTAACATAAAACTTTGCCAACACATCATATTTAATGACAGGAAGATAAAATGCCATCGTCTTCGGTATACCCCAACTCCAGACCTGTGTATCCTCCTTACTGATGCTGAAGAGAGACGATACTTGTTTATACCACGGCCAAAAGCCCTAGTGACAATAACATTTGACAAAACTGTTAGCTTCATTTTCTTCCAAGTTGGAAAATGTCATGAGCACCAAAACATACATCACACGTGTTGACCAGACCACACACTAGACGGTGAAGGGACGACGACGTTTCGGTCCGTCCTGGACCATTCTCAAGTTGATTGTGAGAATGGTCCAGGACGGACCGAAACGTCGTCGTCCCTTCACCTTCTAGTGTGTGGTCTGGTCAACATACTTCAGCCACGTTATTGCGACTCCTCGTCTGCATAGATCACACGTCTTCAGAGTTTTACGTTCCCTAAGCACGAATTGACCATCGTTAAAGATACAGTAATAACCGAGTGACAAACACACCATCTCTAATGTATACACACCTAGAGCCTAGAAAAAAAAAATGAAATATCAAGAGTTGAAAAATGACTTGAGAATGTGTGTAGTGCTTGTGTAATATGATTACCAAGAGATGCTGTATACAGCGCAGGTTTTACACCCAAACACCGTGTGGATTCTTTGATGTTGGAACAGCATTTTCTAGTTGTCTTGGAGACCCTATCATGCGACGACTGCTACCAGGTTTTGATGCCCCTAAGGTAAAGAATAATGACAGAATTACAACGGTTGTATACAAAACCCTCTTTACAATGTGGCACCTACTGCTTGGCTGGGTAAATGGGGGAACAAGGAATATATTTGGTAAACTGAAATTCAAGCTAAAATAACCGCTTTCCTACAGTATCCAATATGTTCTAAAATCTAAAATATCACCATCATTAATGTTTCCCACTAGCATAGGGAGGAATGCAATCAGAACAGTGAAAAATGTAATTAAAGTTGATTATAATAAATACAAATATCACTTATTCATTTGTGATATTTTGTAACTAAATTCCATAGCATGAAAGTGGTATAGGTGCTACCTTGGATGATTTCTAGAGTGGTGGCATTTGTTTAGCCACGATGCTAAGTACAGCAATTTAAAAACGACATAACGGAGTCGCATATTATTTCCATGTTTTAATACCTAATATAATCGTCTTTCACAATATTACTCGCCTTTTATTTAATTAATTTTTTTACACAGGAACAAATGACTGCCGAGTCCTGTAAGCAGGCCGAGGGCTTTCCCTTCCCATAGCTCATGGTAAGCCTTATTCCAAGGGAAACTAGTAGAGTATGACCCTCCAACCGTTTAACAACCAGGTACCCAATCACTGCTGGTTGAACCGAGATGTACAGTTAAAGATGGCTGGGGAGGATTAATTAGGCAGCAATGATACAAATCGAGGCCAAATCGCTCGTGGACCGAGTGTCTGAGTAGATGCTTCCCTACTCCATGAAAGAAGGAAATGGGAAAGTTTCAGTTCATGATTTATTATGTGCAGTATGCACTTTTATGTAATCAAATGCCCCTGTTTAGCTGGCCCATAAGCATCTCTATGGAACCACTGCGGAGCCAGTGGCTGAGCAGACAGAACACGGGACGCGTGATCCTGTAGTCTCGGGTTTGATCCCGGGTGCTGGCGAGAAACAATGGGCAGAGTTTCTTTCAACCTGATGCCCCTGTTACCTAGCAGTAAATAGGTACCTGGGAGTTAGTCAGCTGTCACAGGCTGCCTGGGGGCGGAGGCCTGGTCGAGGACAGGGCCGCGAGGACACTAAGCCCCGAAATCATCTCAAGATAACCAAGATGGAGCTTACACACTGGTACAGTACTTACCTATCAGTGCATACCTATCTGTGGACCATGAGAGAGTGTGAGAACTTGCACATTATGGTCTACCACCTAGCCATTTATACCTGGCATGCTTATTACCCCTCTCAACATTAACATTTTCACCATAATTTCTTTAAAGTTGTGGATGGAACCGGCTTCCAACAACACCTTTATTTCAGTGCATTCTACTTACCAACCACTCATACAGGGAACGAGCTTCCATACACTTCTTTGACCATTGCATCTCCACCTTCCACTGATGTCTGCTTGCCCTACACCTTTTTTCCATTTAAATAAATTTTATATAGGTACCGCTAAGCCTTCAGGTTGAATCAAGCCACCAAGACTTGTATAGGCTTTCAAGAATCAGGACCAGAACAAGGTTTGCTCAATTAAAAGAGGGGACACTGGGAATATGAGATCAACCAACAAATTAAGAAGAAACTATCCAGAAAGACCCGGGGAAAAAAAAACTGCTTGAAATAAATAAAGGGAGAAAAACAATGTAACTGATATTTGGCAACGGGGTAAATAAATTGCTCCAAATCCTTAGTGCCAATTGCCTGGTCACTCAAGTCACCTGGGGCGAGATTCACAAAGCAGTTACGCAAGCACTTACGAACCTGTACATCTTTTCTCAATCTTTGGCGGCTTTGTTTACTATTATTAAACAGTTAATGAGCTTGGAAGCACCAGGAGGCTGTTTATAACAACAACAAAAGTTGATTGGGAAGTTTTCATGCTTGTAAACTGTTTAATAAATGTAACCAAAACCGTCAAAGATTGTGGAAAGACGTACACGTTCGTAAGTACTTGAGTAACTGATTAGTGAATCTGCCCCCTGGGGTTCCAAGCCACTACTTACCAGCATTGAACACCAAAACCCCACAGATAAGAAAGGAATGATAAGGCAGAAACCGGGGAACTGCTTAACAGCCTACCAAAAAGGGGCATTTCATTACACTAAATACATAATTTCTGGGTTAGCACATTCAACAGCTCTTGGGAGCTTCACCACAACAGTGCCTCAGAGAGATGTAGGAGTCTTACTGAAGGAACAAAGGAAACGGGATGACCCATGCAAGTAAGGCGCAGAAGACTAGAACATTTGAAAAGAAGAGGCCATCTCCAAGCATGGTAAAAGCTAAGAAAAAAATTTAAGAACCCTGCAAAATGCAGACCAAAGTGGAAAGAAAGGAATCTAAACAGAGGGTTAGATAAATAAAATCCACAATGGCCACTACCAGAGGACACAGCATCCCTCGATCAACCAGGAACAAATCAGTGGCAGAAGACAAGCTACTGCCAAAGAAACAAAACCCATTGGAAGTGGAGGACGAAGGCCCCAGTAGAAATGCTGCATACTCAACAGAAAGTACCCCAAGAAGAAAAACAAAACTCAGGAAACTCTTGACATGAACTCCTTCAAACCACAGCCCTTCCCCCCTTCCTATCTTCCTGCAAAATATATGAAAGAAACAAATGGACCACAGGCCTACAGAAAAGCATCCAAGGACAAACCCCAGCCAACAGGAGGATAACAATCGGGCCAGATTGGACACCAAAGAGCATCAAGGGGATGTGAAAAAAGGGAAGACAAATACCCTAAATGCCAATCCAGAAGGGAACCCCAAAGTTGAACTCCAGGAAGCAAACTCACCAACAGTGTGGAACAATCCAACTCAAGACTGGCATCCAGTTGTCACTACTGAAACTGAGAAAGGTGGACCAAACACAAACACTTTCTTGAAACGTGTGAAAGAGCCAGACCCCAACAGAAGCCGGAGACAACCCCCGAGAACCATGAAGGACACCAGGAAACCATGACAAGTGCTGATGACTGGCGAACAGACCGGGAGATCAAGGACACCCAAAATAGGCAATATAAACAAATAATAAAAAAAAAGAGCCAGGGGGGAAAAGGAAATGGCTAGTATAAACATAATTGTATAATTTAAACAAACAAAGCAATGGTACCCATATGAGCAATTGTATCCCAGAAGGCAGAGGTTGCCATCTAATGGTGGCCGGGCGAGATGGAGCTAGATGATGTTCACCCAGCGCTATCGCATGCATTGTTTCCCCTCATTCCTCCCTTTCTTTCAAGCAGTGATTTGTTTCATTTTGACTGGCCTTTGTCCGTTTTCCTTGGTTCTGAGTACAGTATATTAATGATACCCATTCTTCCCACCTCTTGCCAAGTGAACCAGATTCTAGTCGAGGTTCCCGGCAGGCCTTCATAAGTGTCCGGAGCCCTGAAGACACTTTAAGGCTAAGCAGTACCAGCATTTAAGCTCTGTGAATCTACAGAGGAGGGGGACCAACTAATATTTTTTTAATTGGGTAAGAAAATTCTCTATCATCATACTATATGCATTAGGTGATGAGTTAAAAAATAAGTAATAAAAGTATGGTGATGTTGCCAGTATGGCACCATACCTGTCTTACCCTCCAAAAGGGTGCGAATCTCCTCTGATGGAGTTATTGACAGTGACTCTAAGTTTGCATCTTTCATCTCCATTACCAGCTTTTCCACTTCCTTTTTCTTCTCGGAAATCGTTTTTTCAGATTCTGCCATCTGCAAAATAAAAAAGTATAATCAATTATTAAAAATACAAAAACCTGGCTTTGCAAGCAGTAAGAGGCACAGATAGTGGGTCATGAAGTCAACCAATGATAGACAAGTGTGACTATGCGAGAGGACTCGAATGTTCAACTCGGATGTTCATATGTCCCGCGCTCACCTCTTGGATAACACAATGTGGAGTTTGTTTTAACACAATTTATACACACACAATTGACTAAAATAGTCAGTATTGTGCACCATCCCACATCCAGACTTTCCTACAACCAATTTCTCATAAAAATACCAAAATTCACCCACTGAAAATCAGATTAAAAAAAAAAATACAAATAAATATTCTTGATTCCAAAGGGAGACTGAAATCCAGATTGTCATGCAAAATAATTGATACTATTTTATTCTTTTTATCTTTTTTAATTTGTAGATAGTTCAAAATAATGCATCTACATATTAACCTCTTGAAGAAATAAGTAATTATCAACAGAAGGCACCAAACCGGGAAGGCTATGTCGCACCAACCTCTTGAAGAAGCTGCTGTGATGTAAGCTGTGCATGTTCAGCCTGTACATTAGCTTGTGCTATAGCTGCCTGCAGCTTCTCAATCTCACGCACTATAGCCTCTTGCTGAGCCTTTGCTTCATCATGACTGCGTTGCTTCTCTTCAGTCATGCTTTTCTCCAGCTCCCTGCAACAAATTACCATTTTTTAAGATTAATTCATAACCACTCACCAATCCACAAAATTTGAGTGAAATAAAGCGTGCAAGTTATTAAAAAGGTAAACTAAAGCCTTCAATAAATATTTCATGACAAGAATTTTGATACAGTAAATCAGAAATAAATAAGAGACAAATGGCCAGTCGCGTTCTTGGGATTAACTGGATGAATCGAAGTTGGATTTATTTCTAGAGATGACACAGACTACAATTGGTAAACTGATGAGAAATATAGCCAACTGAGCACATGTGCACACTGACAGCTCTGATGTAAACGTCTCAATCGTTTTCCTAGTCAAATTTTGAAATACGATACACTGTCAAATTCAAATTGTGATTTTTATATAATTAGGCTTGATCCACCTCGATGCTTTCTCCATTCAAATCGTGCAATTCCCAGATATAACATTTTCGTTCTTTGCTCTAGTCTCCTAATACCACACAAGTCTGGTTATGTAATTCTATTGCTCTAACTCATAATGTTTTGCAACTGTAGCCCACCATCTTGCAACTATACACGAGAGCCGGAACAACCACTCTTGCGAGGCTTTTAGTGGATAATTTTATCATCACTACAAACAAATAAGAAATATAAGGAGAGGGATGGGGGGTCTAATCATGTTTTGATTAGAGAAATATTTTTGTGCAAGGTCGAGTCACGAAACTGGGCCGCGAGACTAATCAAATCAAGCAAGTATAACAATTATAAATATGTGCAGGATTGCACCTTAATGAACAAAGAAAAACTTTTCAATCTGATGGACACAGACTGAATACATCCACAAGTTATATACAAATATAAAACTGTACCGATGCTTGTATTGGATAGACGAATAATTTATTTCTAACAATTAACATGACTTGCTAGTAAAGAATTTTTTGCGTAATAAATCTTTAAAATATTTTGTATATTTTTGCACCATTTTAAAATTTGACTTGAAAAACAGAGACAGGAGTGGGTAAAATGCTGTGCGCGCGCACAACACGTCCAAACTAATTTTTGTTAGTCTATCCAGTGGCAGATTATTGAAAGTCAGACAACTGAGTAACATGTGCAGTACAGTAACTTTATTAAACAAAATGGGTAATAATAAATAAAGCAAATGAGCATAAAACAAAAACATTAAAAAATATTTCAAGTATGGTGTTTTGACACAATTCGCACACAAATGCAACTCTGGTTAGAGAACACCACATTAAGCAAATTAGGGAATATTACTGCTAATGTGCAAAAAGCAACATATCTTACTGAGCTGACCTGACGGTCTCACTGTGAGCTGCCAACTGGTTTTCACAATGAGCCAACTGTGCCTGTAGTGCACTGATTTCGGCTTTAACCTTATCCTCGGCTTGCCGCGCTCCCTCTGCTTCCTGTTCCAGTTGTTGCAGATGATTTACCTGTCATGTATTATTACATGTCAATAAACAAACAGGGAAAAAAGAGTGCATTTATCTCACATAAGAAATAACACCAAATGACTACACATTACTGTAACTCTATTGGGAAAAGATTTACTCTTTTTTTTTTTTTTTTAGTATATGAGTTTTCAAGAGGGTCATGTAAAACTAAATTATGTTTATAATTCTTGAACATATCATGTGGTGCAATAAAATAATTTATCTTGTCAACTAGGTAAATAATTCTTTTGCTTCATCAAAACTAGCATTACGTAGCAAATTATAATTTTTAAGGAAGATGCAATCATCAAGCCAGGAATATAATCCTTGAATGCTGGGAAAAACACTTGGGATGTTCCTTTAGCTCTTCCAGCCATTTGTTGGAATCCTTGTTTTTAAGATCCCATATCATGTATCCACATAAACAAAAACATCGACATCTGTGTGCAGGCGAGGAGTCACAATAACCTGGCTGAAATATGTTGACCAAATCACACACTAGAAAATGAAGGGACGACGACGTCTCTGTCCGTCTTGGACCATTCTCAAGTCGATTGTGTGGAGTTATCGACTTGAGAATGGTCCAAGACGGACTGAAACGTCGTCGTCCCTTCACTTTCTAGTGTGTGGTTTGGTCAACATCCACATTGAAGAGCTACCTTTGCTTGACCCATGTGTCAAGAGGAATAGATGCCTTGATAATTGCACTAGTCATTATTATCATCATGCCCCTAATAGTGCTAAATGCTAATTATTTGTCTTACAGATGACTGCATAGCCTCATTATCATAGTACTTAACTAGTATAGACCTGTTTAGATATAATGATTACTCTATGGTAACACTAATGCAAACTTGCTGGAATTGAAATTTAGATATAATTCATACTTACCACTGCACAACTGTGACAAGCATACAATGTGCATATACTTTTACTATACCAATGCATACAAAACCTCCATCAACTAAACTTATTTACCCCAATTTTAATGTCTCTGAAAATTTTAACTTTGAATGCTTTTGTCTTAAAGGCATTAAATTTGTGTACAGTATCTGCATTCCCAGCATAAAAAATGTGATGCCTTTAGTGTGAGGACAGGTCGAGTTGCTGGTTATCTTGAGATGCTTTCGGGGCTTTAGTGTCCCCGCGGCCCGGTCCTCGACCAGGCCTCCACCCCCAGGAAGCAGCCCGTGACAGCTGACTAACACCCAGGTACCTATTTTACTGCTAGGTAACAGGGGCATAGGGTGAAAGAAACTCTGCCCATTGTTTCTCGCCGGCGCCCGAGATCGAACCCGGGACCACAGGATCACAAGTCCAGCGTGCTGTCCACTTGGCCGACCGGACCATGGTGTCTGACTAGTCTTCTTACACTGCATCAGTAAGAGCCAGATGAAAATGAAGTTGCATGCAGAGTGTAACAACTGGGTGTGCAACGTTCCTCTTGCCTCCTCTTTAGGACATGATGTTAAATTATATATTATATTATAACCTACCTCTTGGTCAATTTGTTGTGCTAGCTTCTCTTGCCTCTCTATCTCTGCTGTGACGTAGGCTAGGCGAGATTCATCTTCGCGTGATCGTCCCTCGAAATACGCGATTTCTGCTTCATACTAAAAAAATATTCAAATCTACAAATTCTTTATCATATCAATATTTTTGAAAGACAAATATTTCTCTCATATAAACATTAATATAAACAACTCATGAAATGGGACAAATACAAGAATATACAACAACAATAAACAGTACATATGAAAGCCAAGTATAATTACAGTTCAGCTGTGTATAATAAATATGGTTAAAACTACAATAATTTGTTTACAATAACTAATATTCTAATCAAGCTAATTCTAATAAAAAAATTAGCTATGAATGATTATGAAAAACTATTTTCTGAGCAAGACCCCCCACAGACAGGATCGCAAGTCAGGGCACGGGATGGCGAGGTAGAGGGAAATATTCTGCGCAGTTGCAATAGAAGTCTTCCTTGCACAGTATGTCCTTGTCAGGTCATACTGTGCAAGGAAGATCCAGGGGACAGATTCACGAAGCAGTTACGCAAGCACTTACGAACCTGTACATCTTTTCTCAATCTTTGGCGGCTTTGTTTACAATTATTAAACTGTTAATGAGTTCTGAAGCACCAGGAGGCTGTTTATAACAATAACAACAGTTAATTGGCAAGTTTTCATGCTTATAAACTGTTTAATAAATGTAACCTAATCTGTCAAAGATTGAGGAAAGATGTACACGTTCGTAAGTACTTGCGTAACTGCTTCGTGAATCTGGTCCCAGAAGGAGAGCTCATTCAAGCCCAGAGTGACTGCAAAATGCTCACTCAAACATTCAAAAGCCTTTCCGAGTCTTACCTGGCATCACAGAAATAAAACCCAGAGATGCCCACCTGGCTGCTGCCTCTGACCACCACCACCAGATGGCAGCATTATCACCAATGAAGAAAATTATCGATGCATGAAATAAATATTACAGTACAGTACTATCAAAAGACTTTGGAGGTCTCCAATTGCAAATGGGCAGGATGGATGAAAAGACTATAATGTACTAATTTAAGTGGTTGATGAGAGCACAAAAATTACTGGTAATGTCAGAAATTACCAAAAACTTTATCTACAAAATACTGTACTGTAAAGTCTATTCTCCTTTTTTATATTTAATTTATATTTATTTACAAACTCGAGAAAGCACTTGCCAGATCTAGGCAAAAGCCAAGTTGAAAAGACTGCTAGATCAGTACAATAGGAAGCAGTAATGTTAGGCATAAGCTTCTGTTGTGAAAAGATCCAGTAGGAACAACATAATGAAACCCCCCCCCAAGGCACATTCATGCTGTCCTGTTTGAGACGTGTCCAACTAGCATCCTCCAAGCTATGGCCCGTCTTGGACAGACCTAGACCCAAAGATAAAGTGATCGGACCTGTATGTGGCTTCTGAAACACTGAATTGACTACAGTATTTGACAGACTGTAAACTGACTGAATTCTGGCTTGCCTGCCTGCTTTACTTACTGACAACTGATGGTAACTGAATTTGATTTACTACGAATGACTGATTTACTACTGGTGGATGACAAGTGACTACTGATGATCTACTATAATTTAAGTGCCAGACTACTTCTGTGTTCATATGGATATTAAAAGCGAGACCAACGATGGTATGGCAAAGGAAGGTACCATCCCACAACACATCCTTCTTCCCTCAATATCAATAATGATATGGCACTGAGTGTATCCTTTTGAATACATGAATAACTTCATGTGATTATTATTTAATGTACAAATTCATGTGTTTCACCTTAAATCATTAGTGTAAAAGACACAGGGCAATTTTAGGGCCAAACTAATTAATTGTAAACATATGGAGCAGCATAAAATGAAAATTAGTTAACTCTGACCTCCATATAACTCGGAGAGGGCTGGCTTCCGTTTGATCAATTTTAACGAGCGATTTCTGTAGCTTGCCTATACACAGAGTATTCAGCAAATGCCTAATCCCAGAGCACAGCACCTGTGGCACAGTACCAGCACTCTTGCCCCGTGCGAGAGATTTCATTTTGTATTAAAGCCCTGGTCAAGAGGACTGACTGAGAACCAATCTCTGGTTCACCAACTTGTAACTAGGGACCTTTCAGGTGCCCTTAACGGCTCATGTTTTGCTGAACCAAAATTTATTCACTGCTGAATGCCCAGACAATTCATGCATAACCTCTCAGATTTTGTGTTTTAAAAATATATCATCAAGTCTCAGAATTCCCATTCACTCAACCCGTGCAGATCAGGGGCTGCAGCAGACTTACCCATTCAACACACCGAAGAGAAGGAAACTATCAGAGGGAAAGCACCAAGCCATTACGACTATAGCACTGGGAAGGGGTCAGGATAAGGATTTGGGATGGTATGGAGCAGGGAAGGAATGGTGCCCAACCACTTGGACGGTTGGGGATTGAACGTCGATTCCTTCACATGCTACAACAAATCAAGCCAAGAAGATGAAACACACTCAAGTACAAAATACCAAACCTTATAAAAGGCTAGCTAAAGGGGTGCAGTAAAAGGGAATTGAGGAGACTGTAATGAAAACAGACCATCATTGAGTAATTTCATTTATATGTTAACATTCTAACCTTAGTTATCTCCACTTGTTGGTTGTTTAACTTGTCCCGCTGCAGGTTAACGAGCTTGACCAGATCTCGATACTTGCCATCAATCACCACCTGCTCCACCTTGCTGCTCTGGTTCAGCCTTCCACCATCATTACAAGACTTGCCAGATTCCTGAACGAATCAAACAATTTGCCTTTTATAATTAATGTTCAAGACGTGGCATGGTTAACTAGCTTCACCGTAAATTATATAAAAGTGGGAATCAACCTTCAACCTAACATAAATTACAGTGGCATGGTTAACTAGCGTCACTGTAAATTATATAAAAATGGGAATCAACCTAACATAAATTACAGTGGCATGGTTAACTAGCGTCACTGTAAATTATATAAAAAGTGAGAATCAACCTAACATAAATTACAGTGGCATGGTTAACTAGCGTCACTGTAAATTATATAAAAATAGGAATCAACCTAACATAAATTACAGTGGCATGGTTAACTAGCGTCACTGTAAATTATATAAAAATGGCAATCAACCTAACATAAATTACAGTGGCATGGTTAACTAGCGTCACTGTAAATTATATAAAAGTGGGAATCAACCTCACATAAATTACAGTGGTAGGTTAACTAGCATCACTATAAATTATATAAAAGTGGGAATCAACCTAACATAAATTACAGTGGTAGGTTAACTAGCATCACTATAAATTATATAAAAGTGGGAATCAACCTAACATAAATTACAGTGGCATGGTTAACTAGCGTCACTGTAAATTATATACAAGTGTGAATCAACCTAACATAAATTACAGTGGCATGGTTAACTAGCATCACTGTAAATTATATACAAGTGTGAATCAACCTCACATAAATTACAGTGGCATGGTTAACTAGCATCACTGTAAATTATATACAAGTGTGAATCAACCTCACATAAATTACAGTGGCATGGTTAACTAGCATCACTGTAAATTATATAAAAAGTGGGAATCAACCTCACATAAATTACAGTGGCATGGTTAACTAGCATCACTGTAAATTATATAAAAAGTGGGAATCAACCTCACATAAATTACAGTGGCATGGTTAACTAGCGTCACTGTAAATTATATACAAGTGTGAATCAACCTCACATAAATTACAGTGGCATGGTTAACTAGCATCACTGTAAATTATATACAAGTGTGAATCAACCTCACATAAATTACAGTGGCATGGTTAACTAGCATCACTGTAAATTATATAAAAAGTGGGAATCAACCTCACATAAATTACAGTGGCATGGTTAACTAGCATCACTGTAAATTATATAAAAAGTGGGAATCAACCTCACATAAATTACAGTGGCATGGTTAACTAGCATCACTGTAAATTATATAAAAAGTGAGACTCAACCTAACATAAATTACAGTCTTTAGTATTCATGCCACAACCCATCATAAAATTTCAGATGCTATCTCCAGTAGTACACCTAATCTAATGTTATGTTAATTACTTGGTTAATTATGCAAGTACTGAAGTAAAAAATCAAACTCTTAATGTCTACGAAATGCAGCACTGCATGTTTATGGGTAACGTAACCCATATTTCAGACTTGCCTTCATGACTATCAGAGGGAAGGCAGGAGGGCTGTGTTAGATGCCAATATTTGTTAAAGTGTGGCACTGGGGGTCCCACCCCGACTGGCCTATCGCAGTCTAATTTTCCCCACATGCTCCATGTGTGAAAGTTGAGTTTGGAAGCCAGATTCTTGAAGGAAGCCTCACACACATGAAGCATGTGGCATATGGGAGTGTAATAGGCCAGTCAGGGTTGACCCCAATGCCACATTAGGAGATAGAGATATATACAGTATATTTATTGATTCATTTATTTTCATCAAATAAATTGCATATTTGGGGGGAAATATTATTTTTTAAGTTAGTACAATGTAAAACTAAGATCAACTTACCTTTGCGGGACTTCGGCGTGAATGTGGCGATTTTACACAATGATTAGAAAATGTAGAATCAAGAGAGGTGTTAAGTCGCTCGCTGCTGTTTGGATGGGCCACCTCACCAGGCAGGGTTTCTTCGCTTGTACCACGCCGGCCAGGCACGCTCCCTCCTTCCAAAGCTAGCCTGTCCATACTTCCCCTACGTTGATTGATTTTTAGTTGTGTGTCCGAGTTAACTTTTGAAATACTGTTATTCAATATGTCTGACTGCGATATCTCTCTGGTAATATCACTTTTTGGAACATCCTCTTTCCTTGAACTGGTTTCTCCCTGCCTGCAATTTGGCTCCTCCTCTGATCCTTTAGGTATACATCTATCATGGTTGGTGCTGCCTGGTGTATCTTCAAAATTAGAATGTCTTACTGGGGTATTCTTAACAGGACTACTAGATCTCCCACTCTTAACATTGCTGTGTTGATTGGCAGAATTAATATTTTGAGAATTGACTGCATAATGGCGTGTTGGCGACGGATGGCGTGTGGGAGATGGGCGGCGTGTTGGTGAAGGGTGACGTACGGGTGAAGAATGTGGCGACGCGGTGACTTGATGGGGATTAGGCACTTTACTTGTAGAATGTGGCACTTGTGTTGTTGTTAGTAGTGGAGGCTGTTTAGTAGGTGACATCTGTGTTATAGAGGCTGGTTGAGGCTGAGAAACAATCACAATTTTCCTCGGTGATCCATGAGTTGGGGTGATTTTATTTGGAGATGAAGATGGAGGTGGTGGGTGACGATAAGGAGGGAGCTCCCTTGGTCCAATAATATGCGGTGGCTTTGGAGGGGGTGGACCATTATATATGGGGGATGTCTGACTAGGAGGTGGACCACGGCAAGCATATTGGGGACCTGCAGAGAGGCCAATATTACCCTGATGTGTATAGCTTGGGAATGGGGCTCGTCTACCATCACTGTAAACAGGCTCTGTCTTCGCTAAAGATTGAGACTCAGCTCTCTGTTCCCTTCTAGCAGTTGAGTATGGTGGCTCATTGGTTGGGGGTGCTCTGCTAGGTGAGTGATGGATGGCAGCTGAATTTGATTGATGAGATGATGCTGGAGGCGAATGGGGACCAGGCCGTGATGTGTTCCAGTGACTAGTGGTGGCCCGAACATTATCTACTCCAACTCTAGATGACGGAGGGGGAGGGGGGTTTCCCCGAACAACCTCATAGGGTGGAGGAGCAGGAGGTCTCCAAGCAACTCCTCCAGACTGTTGATCTGTCCTACTTCCTTCACCTATCCACCCCTGACCCTCCCAGTGTGACACAGGTGGTGTGGGATAAACAAGGTCTGTATGACGGGGTCCTGGCTGAGAAGGTGCAGTCTGTAATATAGGCGGTGCTGCAGCCGGCTGGGACGAGGAAACCGCCTCTTGTCGCCGAAGTTCAGCATGACCGCCACTGAAAGTCAGCGATTTCTTTAAATCTTTGTGTACATGAGGAGATTGTCTTGGTCGGTCGTGCACAGCCTGTGGGCCCTGAGGGAGTGATGGCCTACTTGAGGTTTCCACTCTCTGAGGAATACCTGGTCGAAGGCCAGTTGGGCCATTGGGAGTCTTTGGATCAAGGGCTGATCGCTGAAGGATGAACTGAACATCATTGGAATATTCTCCCCATTTCATTAGAATCTGAGGAAAACACAAATAACATGTATATTACTATGAGATACTGTACCTTATTATTCTTGAAAGACCAAAGAATTACAGTAGAGTTTCTACCAAAAAAATAATATCACAAGAAAATGATGGTAATGTGTAGAAGGAAGATAAAATGTAGTTTAATTGCAGTTCAAGGAACGGTATCCCGGTCTCTATGCTAGGCATCTCTTAGTACAAACCACATTATGAACATTCACATGACCAAATGTATCCTTTCCCTTCGTGTGTATATTTTAAAATGAGGCCTAATGAGGCAAGAGAATAAGTATGGGTGGTGAATAGGGCCGTTGGTGAGCAGATGTGATTGGGTGTATATGGGTTTGGTTTGAGGTGTGGACATATGGGTGGTCATAGTATGTTGGAAATGTGGGTTGGGTAGTGGATACTTAGTGGGTGTAAAGACCCTTTCTATGTGATGTCACATAACCACATGTCCCATTTACAAACAAATATGTGGAAGTCAACAACCAATGTCTCCAACCCTGGGACACAGTAGTCCCAGGGTTGGGACTACTGTGTCCCTGCCTAACATTCTGACCAGAATGTTAGGCAAGAAATGTACCTGTTGAAATCCAACAGGTTAAGAATAAAGCAAGGTCTGACGTATTCACTTGGGTACAGGGAGCTGATGGAATATCCAGACCAAAAATGGGGTCACCACAATGTCTTAATCCAGCAAGTCATTAATGGCATTACAGAATAGATAGCTAAGTAGAGCTTCAATACACTGCAGAGATGGCAGCTCCACCAAAGACCCTGAGAAACTAAACACTATGCCTGGACATTTGTGTATTTAAGCATCCAGAAAGACTCGAGATATGTCCCCACCACACTGTCACCATATCATGAATGTGCTAACAGAAGGAACCCTGCCTACCACTAGTCTGTGGCAAATACTTATAACATGCCTGCGTGCCTGCTGAGGAGCAGAAGTGTGTGACAGCAGAGCCACACATGCCTGAGAAATCCTATGTGTGTAATTACCTAAGTGTAGTTACAGGATGAGAGCTACGCTCGTGGTGTCCCGTCTTCCCAGCACTCTTCTGTGCGCTTCAGAATGGTTGGACTGTACGACAGTCCAACCATTCTGTGGTAACAGACCACAAAAAAGGCACTGTGGGGACCCCCAAAAAAAGAGGATCCAAGACCCTCAAACACAATAACTACCCAGCAAAGACCTCTTTCACAGTACAGACAGAAACCTCTTATCTTAATGCACACCTTGCGGTCAAAAAACAATGATCTTTTGCAGGCAACTTAGACATTAGGACAAGGAGCTGCCACATTCTAATCCACTAACTCTGCACACAATTGAAGAGGGACAAGAGTAAGGTCTTGGGAACAACAAAATGATTGTGCTCAGAAAGGTGCTTTCCATATTAACTGTACACAATCCTGTCCAAGAACACAGCTTACTCTAGGCAACAACTAAATATGATAGCTTAGAAAATCAATGCTAGAATCTATAACTTTAATGAATATATCAAATTTTAAGTCTTACCTTTAGTGGGTACTCATTGGGTGCTAAAAGGCGTTCATTGTTACGCCACCGCTCAATAAGAGTGAAGCGGCCAGTCTTCCCGGTGGCATGAGCCAGCGCATAAACCACATCCTGAACAAATTTAAATATAGAGATGTTATTTTTTAATACATATACTGTATTAGGATTTTGCACATACTGTATTGTATATAAATCTATGGGTTTTATATTTATTTTAGATTTATAAGCCCTTGTACAGTAATCACAGGATTGGATTTTGGTGCAAAAATTTTTAACAAAATTTAACAAAATATAAAACCATTTACTTTTAAGTGATTTTGATATTAAAAAGTTGAAATGTATATTCTGTCAATAGCACTACAAGAAAAAAAATTATGTATAAAATAACAAAAATTGCAATCTTCAAATGCTATGGAATCTCCTTTGCAGCAGATTGGGCTCAGTATAAAACTGACCATTTGATTAAAAGTCCATTGTACATGTTTTTGAACCACAAAAGTCTTCATCTTTTTAATCAGATTTGTATTTTTTTTATTATTATTATTAAACAACATAAGTTCTGCACTCTGAATACTGACCATGTTTAGAAACCCTCAAGCCAGTGTTAGGTCTTGTGCTTAAGGCTGATCAACTGCAGGAGGGTTATTAGAGCTACCACAATACATTACATGTACTGACCAACCAGCAAGTACTGTACATATACATATTTGAGTTCCAGAGAACAAATCCACAAGGGCCGTGACGAGGATTCGAACCTGCGTCCGGGAGCATCCCAGACGCTGCCTTAATCGACTGTGCTACGACAGGGAGTTTTGGGTTTGAGTTCTGGAGTTGTTGTTTTAGATCCAGCTATTCAGAACAAAATGGTCATGTTGTAGTACGGGTTATAGCGAGCCCATAATTGAGTTCGGATATTTGCAATAACCTTGTTACTGTGATATTTGGGTCAAAGTTTTAAATAGAGGTGGGGTTTCCTTTTTTTTTTTTCCCCCACCCCATTTCTTTTTCGTTTCTGTTTTATTGCACTGGTTTTAGTTTTGTTTTAATAACATTATCTTGGTGGCGGATATAGATGCACATTGTTCATTAGTGTGTCCCATTCTTCAACTGCTTTTCTAATCATTGTAGTCGGTGTGGGTTTTGCATCTAATGCAGCTGCTCTCATTGGATTAATGTTGAGTTTGATGCGTAGTGCTTCAGTTGCTTCATATTCCAGTAAGGAATGCAATAGATGACATTCTTTAACTAGTGGGTTTATTACCTCCCAGCAGCACTTGTAACCAAGTCTGAGTCTGTGTATGGCTACTGCAATGGATATTTTTGTCTGGATACTGTATTTTTGCCAGGCTTGAAAGAGGAGTACCCAGTGGCTTGTTCGTACCACATCACAGTGGATCTTCCTTCCGCTACTTTGACTCGCTTCTTATTGATAGATCATCAGCCTCACACGTTTCTTATTATTCTGTTTGTTGTTTAAGATTCAGCTACTTGGAACAAAAAGTTCCTAGAAGCACAGGCTACGGTGAGCCCATAGTCCTGGAGTGAAGTGAACTGAATATACCAAATATACACCGAGACTCAAGGTAATTCAGGTAAAAGTAAATTCAGATACACTGAGAATCAGGTAAATTCAGGTACTGTACTGTATACTTGTCAGTGTATGTATTCTTTATGTCCCAGAGTGTGTATGCTTAAGTATTAAAAGGACTTACTTGACAAGTGGTGGTGTCTGTGACCCCACACACGATGCGCTGAATACCCTCTACCCACACTTTCAGCTCCATCCTGGCCACCATGAAGCCATCTTCCTGTTATAATACAAACACTGCTACAGTACATTCGTAATTAATGTACTAAAAAATGACGACAATTCACAGAAATGTTTCAAAAGTCCTTTAGCAAAATTTCTATAGAAGTACTTAAATGTCTTTTTTTTCATTAAATTTAAACTCTAGATAGACATAGATGGGTAACCTGGTAATTCCCGAAATATTTTGAAGTACGATTGGGAGTTTCAGACTCCCAATCATCTGGGAAATTTCCCCTCTTAGGAAGTTTTCTGACTTGTCTAAGAGCAGGAGACAGGCGGGGTTGGAAAACTCCGCGTTCCATCTCATTTTGTGGAAAGTGTAAAGGTTGTGTAAAACATACCTGATGATTTGATTGTGTGATTAGTTATTCAAGAAATAAAAATTGATTCATACAAATTTTATACAGTATTGTAATACAATAATTCATTTTGTTGAGAACAGAAAGCCTGTGTATGTATTTCAAGCTTGTATCGTGGTCCCCTTAACGTTAAACTACTGACCTTCTCAAGAATGCAACCCCACAATTAGCATTTTAAAAGCACAGAATCACCTTCTGTGGTTGAGTGTTCAATAAACCCCTGAACTAAATGTTTAACAGATCTCTAACCCTATCCATGGAAGACAGAAGAAAATGTATATATGCTGCTTAGCATTGTAAATGTGTGGCCACATCTGTGGTAGAAAATAATAATAAAAAAAAAATGGTTGCCTAACACCCCCTAGAACTTATTTACTAGTAGGTGGACAGTAACTAGCACTAAACCAGAATTTGTATAAATTACCAAAATATCGAAACTTGTGGCAAACAACTATACCATCTGGAAAACTGGTGCTCAAGTGAATGACTATTTACCAAGCTTTTACCAAAATGAGAGGAAATGCTAACATTTCCTCTCATCTTCCGGAACCTGTAAGCCTATTTCCCATGCACATGGGCATCCAAGCCTGATGTGATGTAAGTGTACTTCTGTTGTTCTACTGCTCCCTTTCATTAAACTAAATGGTTTTGCCTTCTAATGCCCACTAGTTCATTTTCAGAAGTTGAAAGAATTATTCATAATTAAGGCACATTCAAACATTGTTAATCAATAAAGCAGCTGCTTTAAACAATGCCCACAAGGTATACTCACAACAAAGAGCTGTCATTCTCATACAAAAGTAGCTTACTGAAGTAATACTGTAGCAGCCCTCTCTAAGACATTGCAACTACTTCCCCAGGAGGAACACAAGGCCCACAGGCTACCGACTGGCTGATAATCGATTCGGGGATCAGTGCACGACTCGTGACTCCTCATTGATCTGGTCTCGTGTCCTTAAAAGCTTGTTGATGGCCATAAAGATATCAGATTCTGGACATCATGAGAAGAGAACTCTATTCTTCTCACTGCAACGACAGTGCTTTGTAGTAACACCAAATACTCGTCAGCCCTGGCCACAGCACAACTCGTCAGCCCTGGCCACGGCACAACTCGTCAGCCCTGGCCACGGCACAACTCGTCAGCCCTGGCCACGGCACAACTCGTCAGCCCTGGCCACGGCACAACTCGTCAGCCCTGGCCACGGCACAACTCGTCAGCCCTGGCCACGGCACAACTCGTCAGCCCTGGCCACGGCACAACTCGTCAGCCCTGGCCACGGCACAACTCGTCAGCCCTGGCCACGGCACAACTCGTCAACCCTGGCCACGGCACAACTCGTCAACCCTGGCCACGGCACAACTCGTCAGCCCTGGCCACGGCACAACTCGTCAGCCCTGGCCACGGCACAACTCGTCAGCCCTGGCCACAGCACAACTCGTCAGCCCTGGCCACGGCACAACTCGTCAGCCCTGGCCACGGCACAACTCGTCAGCCCTGGCCACGGCACAACTCGTCAGCCCTGGCCACGGCACAACTCGTCAGCCCTGGCCACGGCACAACTCGTCAGCCCTGGCCACGGCACAACTCGTCAGCCCTGGCCAAGGCACAACTCGTCAGCCCTGGCCAAGGCACAACTCGTCAGCCCTGGCCACGGCACAACTCGTCAGCCCTGGCCACGGCACAACTCGTCAGCCCTGGCCAAGGCACAACTCGTCAGCCCTGGCCACGGCACAACTCGTCAACCCTGGCCACGGCACAACTCGTCAGCCCTGGCCACGGCACAACTCGTCAGCCCTGGCCAAGGCACAACTCGTCAGCCCTGGCCACGGCACAACTCGTCAGCCCTGGCCACGGCACAACTCGTCAGCCCTGGCCACGGCACAACTCGTCAGCCCTGGCCACGGCACAACTCGTCAGCCCTGGCCACGGCACAACTCGTCAACCCTGGCCACGGCACAACTCGTCAACCCTGGCCACGGCACAACTGCTACCGTACAGCACTTGTCACCGTTACTACACTACTCTCATCTCAAATGACACCTTCAGCTACAGATAAAAAAACTAACCATCTTATAATGGCAAGTAGCTAGTTATTAAAACAACGACAACCTCACACTTAACAAGAGATACAGGTCACTTCATACCCAAAATGGTTCACCAATGCATTTCATGACCTAATAAATCAAAAACTAACCTAACTCATGTCTAACCTAATGACAAGTGAGGTTTTTACAATTAGAAAACGAACCTTGCTGAAATGATAGTGGAAGATTTGACTGTACCCTTGAACAAAGCACAGTACAAATACTTTAAGGAATTGTAAACAATTGGCAATTGCCTTCTTGTATACCATCTTGTATACTCCACAAGGAGCCTTACATTGGTGACTACCTAGAGGCATTCTGTCCTGGCTATTAAATATGAAATAGTAATGCAGCAACAAATGGCCTCCAACCCCTTGCCATCGCATTACAACTGACGCTCCGCACTTTAAAGCATTATTTGGCCGTAACTGATAACTGACAACTGATGTCTGAAATATTGAGAGGATTACACTACGACAGAGCTTGTCGTTGCCTTGTCAAGGGCAAAGGCTTGACTTGTGAGTCGGGCTGTTGTTGTTGTTATAGATTCAGCTACTGGGAACAAGTTCCCAGTAGCACGGGCTATGGTGAGCCCGTAACTTATCTGGCACAGGAGCGGGGCAAGTAGCACGGGCTATGGTGAGCCCGTAGTGGACTTACCTGGCACAGGAGCGGGGCAAGTAGCACGGGCTATGGTGAGCCCGTAGTGGACTTACCTGGCACAGGAGCGGGGCAAGTAGCACTGGCTATGGTGAGCCCGTAGTGGACTTACCTGGCACAGGAGCGGGGCAAGTAGCACGGGCTATGGTGAGCCCGTAGTGGACTTACCTGGCACAGGAGCGGGGCAAGTAGCACGGGCTATGGCGAGCCCGTAGTGGACTTACCTAACACAGAAGCGGTGCTGTCTGCGAGTCAGGAGACGAGGTGTTAATATATAGTTACGGTGACGCTGGGGGCGTGTGCCAGCTCTGCCCTCCTCCTCCACCTCAAATCACCCTCAACCACCCAATTAACTGGTCAAAATACCTGCTAAATCCAGTCTATACTCGGCCTGTGCAGCTGTCACTCACCTTAAAGTAGAGTTAGTGGGCTATGGACTCATTGGGCAGCTCATAACAACATCAACTAACTGGCCCTTGCCATATACGCCGCCATATTTGTTGACTTGAGGGGCTGAGACAGGCGAGGGTCGCCAGGCGCCGCCCCAGACCCCTCACTTCTCAATTAACAAATTCCTTATATTCAACCACGATCTAACATTTGTGGATTTGTTTATAGCAATCACTGATAATTAATAGCTAAATGGAATGATGGCACGTTTGTTAATAGCCAAGTTTTGGTGATATTTGTGGGCGCATAAATAGCGTCGTTATTAACGGTCATGTCTACCATTAACTCAAATGTGTAGCTAGCTATAGTTGACATTAATATTATGTGACCTCACTAACCAATCAATTTGATTATACTCTTATGCTCCTATGATATCTGGAGTATATATGCGTCATCCGTGAAATATTGATATATATTGACTCAGCAAGTGGTCCACTTGTACCAATTTATGGATGTCTCCAGTCTCCTCACAGTGCAAGTATATCATGGGGGAACTTAGTGGATAAAAAACACAAGTCTGCAAGTTTAAGTGTTGTGTAGTACTGCTGCAGGTGATGCTTGACCTGCTGGGGTCGACGTGAGCTCCAGCAGACAAAGTAATGCTTCAGGCGAAGTGTGTCTACTTAAAGAGTTTCCTGTCTTGAGTCTATTCACACCATATATTAGCATGGAGAATAGATGTGGGATTTGGGATATGAATTGAAGCAAGGCATCCTGACTAAACCAACTCTTTAAGCACACTACTCGCATGATTTTACAAGCTTTCATGTCAGCCTCGAGGTATATATCGATGGGAAAGTGGGGCGGCTCCTCCCCCATGCTTGTCACCGGAAGGGGTGTTCCTATTTGGCAATGGCTGCGAGAACGTAATTTTATAAAAGGTCTCTAATCCTTTGAGAGCGAAGGTTCTAAATATAGCTCACCGGATAGGTGGCTTGAGTGCCACTTTCAGATACAGCACCACGTGCTGTTGACGTCATAGTGTAACACTGTTTAGTCTTGGGGTTCCCTGAAGGACTCCATCACCCCCATCCCCACATCAACCTTCTCTCCTATAACACCCCCATCCTTGTGGCTATTTAGGTATTGTATGTACTAGCTCTATCTATAAATCCAACATCGTATATTTATGTACTTTTCCTGAATAAAAATTTGAATTTGAATTTGAATAGACACTTGCTAGACAGTTATTTTCTAGCTTTGCTGGCCAAAATAGCTTTTGTCCTCGAATATATCAGTAATACTATATCAATAATATATAAATAATAATAATTGATAATAAATATAGGTATTACATTTTCCGTTGTCGAGGACAGGAAGCCTATTAGGCAGGATCCAACTCCTTCTTTGAAGGCAGATTCTTTGGCTAACTCATTAGTATATTGTGAGAGATATCTCTCTCTCTGCCTCTCTCTGTCTCTGTCTCTTTCTGTCTGTCTGTCTGTCTGTCTCTCTCTCTCTGTTCTAAGGAGAACAATTTGAGTGCTTTCAGTTGGTCGCAGACTCCAAGTATAGTTTAAGTGCCTCGCTGAGTCTTGCTTAACCTGCTTGATTGGCTGAGTGTATGCTGACAGTAAGTCATCACTGTATATTTAATAGCTCGTTTCTAATCAACCTTGAAACGGCATGTGTGTGAGAATCTCTTTAGAGCAGTGCCAGACATTTGGGTACGTTTCCTTACACCTGGTGTCTCTGTTCACCTAGCAATAAATAGGCACTCCGGGAGTAAGAGAACTGTTGTGGGTCACATCCTGAGGAAAGTCTGCCATTGGCTTAAAACTTAACAGGCTTCGTGGAACCAATATGCCACACCATTCTTTGTGCACACGTGTTCTTTGTGCACACGTGTTCTTTGTGCACATGTGTTCTTTGTGCACACGTGTTCTTTGTGCACATTGTGTTCTTTGTCCACACGTGTTCTTTGTGCACATGTGTTCTTTGTACACACGTGTTCTTTGTGCACATGTGTTCTTTGTACACACGTGTTCTTTGTCCACATGTGTTCTTTGTGCACGTGTTCTTTGTACACACGTGTTCTTTGTCCACATGTGTTCTTTGTACACGTGTTCTTTGTCCACATGTGTTCTTTGTACACGTGTTCTTTGTGCACATGTGTTCTTTGTACACACACATTCTTATGAATAAAGATAATAATTAGATTATTGGGTGGTCCGTCTAATTACCACAAGTCTGTCATGTTATGACAGTCTGTCTATCAAGTCTGTCACTCTTAAACATAATTACCACATGTCTGCAAGTACTTTGTTGGTATTCTAAGATATTGACCAGCCACTTGGGCTGGGTGGTAGAGCGATGGTCTCACGTCATGTAGGTTGGTGTTCAATCCCCTATCGTCCACAAGTGGTTGGGCACCATTCCTTTCTCCCGTCCCATCCCAAATCGTTATCCTGACCCCTTCCAAATGCTATATAGTCATAATGACTTGGCGCTTTCCCCCTGATAATTCCCTTCCCTCCCTGAGATATTTCTAACATTGCTTAATAAAGGCAAATGCAAGAATTCACAAAGCACTCTGCTTCCAAACTTTATTGGTATACTGTACATTAAAGCAAATGAAAAAAATGCATTGATACCTTTCCTAAAGAAGACTACTGTTCAATAAACATTGTCACTTTTCAAGGATTTGGCTGCTTTTACAAAACATTAATAATATAATATATGCAAACTATAATATCTGAGTTACAAATTAGCCACAGTAATAAACTCCAGAGAATGAACAAATTAGGTGAGCACTGTTAGAGCCAGCAACTAACCTACCATTTATAGTGTACACTTGCCTTTCTAAACATTTACAACACATCTTATCCTCCTCCACATTTATAATGTACACTTGCCTTTCTAAACATTTACAATAAACACTGCCCTTTCAGACATTTATAACACACTTTTGTCTTGTGGACCAGACAATACACTAGAAGGTGAAGGGACGATGACGTTTTGGTCCGTCCTGGACCATTCTCAAGTCGACAATCAACTTGAGAATGGTCCAGGACGGATCGAAACGTCGTCGTTCCTTCACCTTCTAGTGTGTGGTCTGGTCAACATACTTCAGCCACGTTATTGTGACTCATCGTCTGCACACTTTTGTCTTATTTGCCACACATATATAACACACATTTGCCTTATTCCACATTTATAGTGCAATTTTCCCTTCACATACATTTGTCACCTGCATGTTCACATAAATGAATGGAATGGCTGATCCAAATAACATTATGAGTATAAAAAAAATTAAAAATTCAACTGTGCAGTACAGTATAATTTATGAATATTTTCTAACATTAATTCTAACCAAGTATGTATGAATGTGCAAGGAATTTATCTATTCTTTCAATATATATATATATATATATATATATATATATATATATATATATATATATATATATATATATATATATATATATATATATATATAGTCCTGGGGATATATATATATATATATATATATATATATATATATATATATATATATATGTATATATATGTATGTATGTATGTATGTATGTATGTATGTATGTATGTATGTATGTATGTAGTAATGAAATCACTGATCATGTATTTGTAATATGAAATGCTTTGTTAAAGACACCATATTTGGTAGAGATTTTCTGTACAAAGTTTCAGTGGAAGAGCTTTGTAGAAAAATGCTTGTACTCTTCTATATCATCTTTACCCAGTGTGGGGTCTCTACCTAGCACTCTTCTCTGCACCTGTTGTTTGCGTTACAATATGAATAATAAATTTACACGAGATAAGTATATGTATGATAATCAACACGGCTGTGATTCATACATCAGGCTGCGAACAGCTATGTCCGACAGCTTGGTTGACCAGACCACCAACCAGGAGGCCTGGTCAAAGACCAGGCTGTGGGGAGACGTTGATCCTTTCAACCAACGAAAGTCAGAGAAAAGATAACCTTTCTAATTTGAAGAGGATCTCAGGAGCTGCAAATTTGCAATCAAATATAAAGTATTCATATGCAAGATTATGAGAATACTGTGCATTTTTACTAACAAGGCAATGATGAATGATTAAGATTGCTGAAAGCCGACTTCCATGCTTACCACATCTCGGAAAATTACTTCTCTCTGGTTAATTACAAGACAGTTGGTCCTCCATGCAGCCTTTAGATGTCACATTAGTCGGCAATTGAGATTTGTTTCTCTCAAATAACTTTACACACCAGAGTTACATAACTTTTTTCTTTTAAATTAAACTTTGCATTTGTTATTCTATTTTGCCAAAGCACACAGTAATAACTGAGAAAAAATATACAATTGTACTGATTGTAACAAGCTATGCAATTATGCAAGCATTACCTGAATAATTTATCCCAAGAAGGCAAAAATAAGGAGTTTGGAAATGAGTCATTGCACTACCAAAGTGTGTTCACTTTGGTATACACTGGAAGTTGTGCTGCAATTCTACATCACTCAACTATACATAATTAATTTCAACTGATTTTCATTACTTGTCTCTTATAAGAAAACGCAAGAAAACTTGTTTCAAAAATACAGACCGAATCTTAAAGGTGTACAATGGTACAAATGTTACAATGCCTACAATGTTTTCTGGAAATACATGACCTTGCGGGGTTCAACAGTTTTCTATAACATCTTGAAAACTAAATTTATCATTTTAATGTGGCAAAATAGTTACTTACTTTTAAATCAAGAAAAAAACATTGAGCAATTGTATGGAGATAATGCAGAATAATCCTTTATGGAATAATCCTTTATGGAATAATCCTTTATGGAATAATCCTTTATGTTGTACATGCCCACTACACATCTGCAGGGCTCAACAACATAACAGTTTTGATATGAACCTGGCTAATAGTTTAAGAGGTAGTTTCCCATCTAGTACTGTCAAGTATTTACTTCTTAGGATTTGGACCTGGTTGTGGTGGATGAGGTATTTTCACATCCACCACAGTAAACTACTTCCATCAAAAGATTTTACAATAATAATTTACTCTATAACATCTGTATTTTAGCAAAATAGGAGAGTACAAGCTTGTATGATGATATTTTTGACCGTTACAGGTCGAAAATCATTACATTTTCGACCTTTACAGGTGTCGATAGTCACAGTTTTTCATACTGTTATTATTTTTTATTTGCACTTCATAATTAAACAAAAATAAAAAACAGAAATTGATTGATTTATCCATGCACTACAAAGACAATCTTTGTTATTTTTTTATCAATTGCCATGTTTGTATAACTTTAGATTTCCCACTATAAGCAGTTAATTTCAGAGGGAGTGTACTAGTTAAACAATTAGTACTGGAATGAAAGAAGTCACACTAACCAATATCATTAAAGAGTTATACTCTCAAAATTACCTCACATTTTTATAAGAAACCTGTAATACATTTTGTAACATGAAATACTATACAGGACTTCTTCAGTTTCACAAACTTAGAAGCACTGTCATACCTGTACTTATTTATAGTCAAACAAGAACACACAGTTGTAGCAACTACCGCTTAACTTGTGCACCATTTCAGACAGTTTTAACAAAGTCTCATTGTTCATCTAGAAAATCTACAATCAAATCTAAGATAACAAGTATGTTATATATTTAAAATAATAAAACAAAATTTTGTACTATAAACAGTGTAGTATTATGCAATCTTGCCACACAGAATCTTTTTTCTTGCAATACTTGTCAACCTCTCCAGTAATTATCAGCGTCCAGTTGTCATCAATCCCTGAGCACCACTATTAAAATTTTACAACAAAACTCTTAGAACAATGTTTTTTTTAACAAGCTGTTAATTCTAGTTTTGGGTACTGTACCGCAGTAACCTTATTGATGAATAAGTTGAGCTTAAAATATGGCATTTATTCAAAACAAAAGAAAATGGGATATTTAGTAGCTTGTGTTAGCTTTAAAACTATGTACTGATGGCAGTCAGCATAACCGAACTGCTATATGCTACCCACCACACGGTAGAACGCCTATAAACATTCTGCTGCAGCGCGGCCTTTGCAGCAAATCCCGCCTATAAGCATATGGTGCAGCTGGTGGGATAAGTGAGTGGTCAAATCAAGTCTGATTCGACTTGACTTTTATCTGTGTCTCAAGGCAATTAATAGGGGTTTGAAAGATGAGGGCAAAAAGTGGCACAGAGATGAGGACCTGTAGGCAACCAAACATCAGGGTTGGCCATGCTAGAGCTTAGAAGCAGGTATCAAATGATTAATAATTGTGTTCTGTATGGGTTTGTGAGCCCTTTGAGGGACCTTATATAGATGAGGGTAGAAATAGCCTGAGCTACTCTATCCTTTTGAGATGTACTTCCTTTTCTCAATAAACTTACTTGAACTTGAACTTGAACCAGGTATCAAGGTTGGCTTTGCTACAGCTTGCGACCTAGGCCAATATTTGAGAGCACAAAGTGGTAACTAACAGTCTTAAGTAATATACTTAATGAACTGAAAAATTATCCATATCAGGTTAACAATTCCCAATTCTCACAACTGATGATAATTCTCTTTGCCTATTGTGACATTTCACTCACATTATGGCTGTGCTGTAGGTGCCAGAATTCATAGATAATCTAAAAAATGTATACCAGGTATACCCAGACTATCTGAATACCCACTATACAGACTTGCTTTTTAACCAGAATAGTAAAAATCCAGTTCAAAACATCAATTTACTGGCTCTAGTCCAGTTAACCGAAGACCACCATGAATAACAAAGGATCTTATTGGCAGCAAGCACTCATTTGGAGACAGAAAAAAAAGAGAAAACGAAAATTCCTTTACTGTTAGTAAAGTCAATAGTAAGTAAAATATAATAGTCAATATCCTCCTAAAATGTACTGATAGTACAGTACTTACAGCAACTATTTGACCAAACATACAAAAATGAACTGTTGGACCCCCAAAAAATGTAGTTTTACATTATTAACTTTATAGCGGGTACAAAAAACTTCATAACATTCCTAGGCCTAGTATAATAACACATACACTGTACATACACTACATGTGGCCCAAGATAGGATGTATTAGGCCTATCTTGAGATGATTTCGGGGCTTTAGTGTCCCCGCGGCCCGGTCCTCGACCAGGCCTCCACCCCCAGGAAGCAGCCCGTTACAGCTGACTAACACCCAGATACCTATTTTACTGCTAGGTAACGGGCATAGGGTGAAAGAAACTGCCCATTTTTTCTCGCCGGCGCCTGGGATCGAACCTGGGACCACAGGATCACAAGTCCAGCGTGCTGTCCGCTCAGCTCCCACATCATGTGGCCCAAGACAGGATGTATTAGGCCTAGATGGCTTGGACAACTCAGCTCAGGTTAGGTTCTTTTGTTATACTATATTTCCATTTTTGTCAATGCTATTTGGGCTAATTCAATAATACAGAACATGATCTTTTCAGGGGTTCCAACAGTAAATTTGTTGTACATTTGACCAAATAGTTGCTATATATACTATCAATTTAGGAGAATGGGCTGATAATTATAGTATAGTCCCTTTAGAAGATAATTACATGTAGTTTTACCACACGAATCTATTAAAATACTGTACATATCAAAATAAGTGAAATATTATTTATCATAAAACTAAAAAATTGCTGCAAAATTGTCACATGATGTTTTCTTAAATTATTTGTAATTTAAGAATGTAAGATTTTGACTCGAGTCTAAGATGTAATATGATCATGCGGTCCAGGACACTTGGAAGATGCAGGTGTGTTTGGTAAGTGATGTGATAGGGTCTGCAGTAACTGCCCAGCTCTGAAGAGGGCTAAGACATAATAGGAAATAATAAAGTATCACTGTCAATTTCACATGAGAGACAACTGTGAGAGAGATGTTCTGTTTATCAATGAAATATCAATAATTGCTATAAATATATCGGCCCATTTAGCATCTTCTTGATGATATCTCGAGATGATTTTGGGGCTTAGCATCCCCGCGGCCTGGTCCTCGACCAGGGCCTCCTTTTTGTTACACACCCCCAGGAAGCAGCCCATAGCAGCTATCTAACTCCCAGGTACCTTTTATACTGCTAGGTGAATCGGGGCATCAAGGTGAAAGAAACTCTGCCCATTTGTTTCCACTTCCACCGGGGATCGAACCCGGAACTTTAACACTACAAATCCCTAGCACTCTCCACTCAGCTGTCATGTCCCCATAAAAGAAGGAAAAGAAGCATAAGAAGGCTTTCTGTATATGTAATGTATTCTATGAGTTCATGGTAGCTATACACTTAAATATAATATCTATCACATTATGCAGATACAGTATTTAGTTATTATTTTTTGCAAGTTTCCACAAATAGAGAAATCTTGCCAATTCATACATATAATTAATCACAATCCCATACTCATTATAAAAAAAAAAAAAATATGTACTGACCTGCCAACAAGACAAAATATATTAAAACAAAGCACAAAGTTAGGGTATAACCCTAATAACAATACTAGTATACTATGACAAACTAGTAAGAGAAGAGACCCGTTCAATGGTATCACTGTTAATTGGAACAAATCCATCTATTCTTACTCTGGTAATGTCATCGTATAATTTGCAAAGTGCAATAATAATGTGATAAAAATATTGTCATCTATTTCAATAGAATATATGTACAGATAACTAACTCTGCAAAAACAACAAATTCAATCATTTTAACTCTACTGGTATATCACCATTTCAATTGTTTTTAAATTCAAGCTAGTACTGTAATGTTATTCTGTTCACTGAATCATTTTACGAATCATATAGTTGAGGATGCCACCATGACGGAAGTAAGTCAGCTCCACTTCAGTGTCAAATCGTAAGATAGCTTCAAATGAATTACCATTGTTGACCTGTAAACAAATGAATGAATAATTAGCAGAATGTGATTGTAAAATTATAAAATTTTTAAGAATATACCAAAATTTCTAAACAAATGCTTAAAAATAAAACTTTTGAGCTACCAATATATGAAAAACTAATTTCTGAGCAGGATACTTGACTTCTCCCTATGCCAAGATCATATCTGGACACTTGAATAGTATTACGCACAGTCAAGGCAAGTCGACATTCTGCAATGATGCAGCAGGAATCTTTCCAAGTGTCCCTGCTAGGACTTACAGATACAATGAAGACATTGTATCTGTAAGTCAAGAAAGGATCATTCCAAAGAATTACTTCTAGAAGGTTAATTTATAAACATTCAAAAGACCTTCCAAAATCTATTTTCCATGAAAGAAACTGCCACTCTTGTTAGTTGCCAGCTGACCAATCACGTGCTTTCTGATGCCAAAAAAATCTCTGCACACAGGGAAAGCAAAGATACACGAGAAGAAATGGTATCAACCAAGTGTCCTGCTTAGAAACTAACTTTCCATATTCATAGCACTCAATGCCTTATTTCAGGGCTACCTCACTCCATTGTTATCTAAGGTTGGAGTGAGTGTAAGTAAAAATAAATAAAACTAATAACAAAATGGGTATGACTCTAATGTATGGTACTTGATTAACTTTCAGAAGCAAGAAGCAGCCTTCAACCCAGGAAACCCCGCAACAGGAAACCCAGAACCCTACCAGAAGGAAAGATGGTCATCTTGAAGACAGCCAATTCAATGCAACACAGTATTGATGTAGGTGGTGAACCTCAGGCAAGTACTGTATCTAGTCATAAAAATGCTGATGTCAGAAAAGCATATGGCTGAGAACAACACATTCTCAAGAATTTAGTGTCTTGAATATTTGCAGGTCATGTGTACAAGAATACACCTATAGTTGACTATTTGACCACTCTGCACATCAGATGGGAGATACAGGCCTTAATACAGGGCACCATGGTGTATAGATTAAGGAGAAACTCGCATTCAACAATCCAGAAGATAATGGCATAAGGTTACTACCAGACATAAGGCATGATGAATATGAAAGTAAGCAAAACAGGCCTTAAATAAGATAGGGGCCCTCCAAAAAGAAAAAGTTTAATTTTTAGCCACGGGAAGGGAAGGAAATTATCAGGGACAGTGCCAAGCCATCATGCCTATATAGCACTGGGAAGGGGTCAGGATAAGGATTTGGGATGGGACAGGGGGAAGGAATGGTGCGTAATCACTTGGACAGTTGGGGACTGAACGCTGACCTGCATGAAGTGAGACCGTAGCTCTACCATCAAACCCAAGTAGCCAAGAAAGTGGAAGTTAGGATGGAGACACACAATAGCATCTCTATGACCGAAAAAAAGATGAACATGAAGCCTGCCTATCCAATTACCCATAACAAATCCAGTCAGAACAAGAACTTGAGCACAAGGTCCTCAAGGAGAGGAAAGATCCGATGCCTAATAAAAATAACAAACTGATCGACACCCAATCACGAGATCATGCATACTCCAACAGCACATGGGAAGAACAGATGTTGAAGAAAACTCTGCAGTTTTAAAAAGGGAGGACTAGAGAGAGGTCAAGGCTCAAAGTAAAATGTAGTGACATCCAAAGCAGCCGAGAAAACAAAGACAATGGCCATACCATGTTGAGAACACCGCTTCTCGTCCAATCAGCGAAATTAAGCAACACTGGGTTTGGTTAATACTTGGATGGGTGACTGCTTAGGAACACCAAATTCTTTTGGCATTAAACTTTTCTTGGTTGAGTTCAGGAGTAGAACAACTCCAGTAACCTTCTTGAGTTCAGGAGTAGAACAACTCCAGTAACCTTCTTGAGTTTAGGAGTAGAACAACTCCAGTAACCTTCTTGAGTTCAGGAGTAGAACAACTCCAGTAACCTTCTTGAGTTCAGGAGTAGAACAACTCCAGTAACCTTCTCCAGGTATGCATGAGACCAACAGAAACAGAAGGCCTAGTGAGGCCAGCCTATTGATTCTTAAAAGAATCAAAACAATGCACAACAAGTTTAAATGCTTGAATGTTATTAGTGCACACACTAAGTATTTAAGTGGAGAACACTAGACTCCATCTGTGGTTAAAGAGGAAGAAAAAACATTGGCTGGTGCCAGTCCCTTACTATTATCAAACCTATCATTCATGTCATGAGGATCAGAACACGATACTTAAGCAGACGAGAAGTCACAATAACGCGGCTGAAATATGTTTCAGCTACGCTATTATGGCTGAATTTCCGGTCTGTCCTGGACCATTCTCAAGCCGATTATGGCATTGTTTTGCAATTGACTTGAGAATGGTCCAGGATGGACCGAAACGTCGTCATCCTTTCACTTTCTTATGTGTGGTTTGGTCAACGATACTTAATTTATCAAAATAAATTAATTCCCAAGAGGATGGTGTAAGTCTTGCACTGGTTGGTTTCCCTTGTAGGATCAATAAATAAGAAGAGAGACATGTGTAAAAAATCACCCCTTAGTCCCCACCACTATTGTTCAATACTTGCCTGTACAGGAATTATCATCCCTGTCTTCAATTCTTCTGGAAGATCAATATTGAAAGTTTCTTTCCCAGTGATTCCTAGAGACTCAGCAGTCTGACCCTCCAAGAACTGCATAGGGATAATGCCCATTCCAACAAGGTTGCTGCGGTGGATGCGCTCATAGGACTCTGCTATTACCGCACGAACACCCTGTAAGAATTTTGAGAATAAATAAATCCTAAATTAAACTTTGTTTAAAGATTACACACACAAAAAAACTGATAACTATTTTGCAACAAAAGCTTGACCTGAAAATTAACTTACCAATAGGAATGGCCCTTTAGCAGCCCAATCTCTGGATGATCCAGAGCCATATTCTTTCCCTGCCAGGATTATGACGGGACGATTTTCCTCCCGGTAACGTTCCGCAGCATCAAACACTTCAAGCTGCAAGAGTTTTATAGTGACAGCTTTCACAATAACCATTCAGAGCAAAATGCATGAGCAATCAGCTCTAAAGACTAGACTACTGTATTAAGAACCAGCTTTAAAAATAATCATTTTATCTGCTCAAGGATTCTATTTCATGTATACAAAAAATAATGTCACTGGCATGACTTGAATTACAGAGTATGACAAAAATACTTGAGTACACTAGGCTGGAACTGAATATCAGAGACACCAGAGTCGCTCAGGGAACATCAGCGAGTAGCCAGGATTACTCGTTAAACATCAGTGAATAGCCAGAGTTACTCAGGGAATAGCAGTAAGCAGCCAGTTACTTAGGGGACAGCAATGGGTAGCTAGGAATACTCACAAGTGGATATTTGTTTTGGAAAGGAAAAACAGCAAAAAATGGTTTGGAGACGTTTTGCTCGCATTGCAAGCATTAAAAATCAAAGACTGAAACCTCAAAGGTTCGCAACATAGATTCGCTTTACTACTGTACGATAGTGGTAAAAATAAATGAAAGTGCCAAGATTCCAAACATAAACATAGCTGACCCCATAAAACATTACTGATTATTATTAATATACATTTGTACCTCTTCTCCAGATGACATGTGAATAGTGTATGGTCCAGACTTTCCGACAAACTTATTCACAAGTCTGATGTTTGCGAATGTGCCACGAGCCATCACGGCATCATTGCCTCTCCGTGAACCATACGAGTTAAATTCCCGGGGTGTCAAACTGCAAAAGAAGGTGAATACAGAATGATATATTAAAAAATAAAACAAATGAAAATACTACTGTACTATATACAAATCATTTTCAGTTTATATCAGGAAAATAAAGAGACAATAAATTAAACCAATGTAATTAAGAAGACATATATAATGAAGTATTGAATATAATGAAGCACCCTTTTTTGTTCGAGCCTCAGCAGCTCCACAGTGCCTACAAGCTGGTGCTGCTCAGCTACATTATTGTGCCAGGATTCTCAGATCCAGCCTGACCTATCATGAGCCACGATAGGTCAGGCTGGGTCACGACTCTGGCTTGTTTACAAACTTGAGGGAAATCTCTGGGCATCACTCATCAAACCAAAACTAACAAAAACCCATCCAAAAACTTAAGACAAAACAAAACAAACCAACGTTCAAAAGACAGAAATTAATAATATGAAAAATAATGCAAACAAGCTTGCTGTGTGGTGGAATATTTCTAGCCGTAATTTACGGTACCTAGCCACTGTGTGCGCGTGTTATTCTTAGGGTCACGAAGCACATGGTGTGGCTCATGTCAGGTAACCCACAGGTGAATGTGGTGCTGCCATCTGGTAGTGGGAGGCATAGTCACTAGTTATTCCTGTCAGTTGTTACTTCTCTGCTCCATTTCACAGCCATCTTGTACAACTACCACCCTATATCTTTTCTGACATCGTTGATATTAAATAATTCAAGACCCATCTTGGGTATTTATAATTTAATAATAATAATCTTATTATACCAATACTGTACATCAGTTGATCGACAATTGAGACGTGGGACCAAAGAGCTGAAGCTCAACCCCTGCAAGCACAACTAGGTGAATCCATACAGCAAACGGAGAAATTTTTCCCGTTAGATTTACATATGAAACAAATTTCATGGAAAGACTTTAATAGGAAACCAATTTCAGGTTGTCACCTACCCACGAGACGCCAGGTAACGTGCTGCAGCAGAATTACGAGCAATAGAGCCAGCTGGTGATATATGGTCTGTGGTTACAGAATCTCCAAGATTAAGGAGAACATGTGCATCCTTAATACTTTTAATGGGTGATAATTCCTGTGGAGAAAAAGAATAGATGTTGTTGCATTTTAGAGAGACAAAATCTTGTCAGAAGACATCACTCAATAGTATGTAGTCAAAGAGAATTTATGGCTCCTGATTGGAGGATGCACCAATGACAATTTATGCTCCAAAGTAGATCCAAAAGCTGAACCCGAGTCTGTTCCCTTTGTTGGTCCGTGTCTGTGATTCTTATAACCAACTACTCTAATATAAAGACTTTTAAAACTCATTTCAATATCAGGCAGAACTATGCATATGAATTCTTCTTGACAGTGGGTTAAATAATTCTATTAGTTTACTTCAAAACTTATGGCATGATTCACAAGAGACTATTTTTTAAGATCACACTGGAATGGACACTATACACCTATAAAGGTATTAAAAATGGTGGAGTATGCAGTTTTGTCGCACACTTAAGTGTCTGGACACCCTAGTGCCAGTCTCTATAATCTATTTTTATGGAAATTTTGCCAATATAAACATGTATAGTATGGTCTATACTAGACTTCCCTTTGATTCCATACTATTAGGTAATTCTCCTAAAATAACACACAGCATCCTGGATCTTGGAACCCATTTGATGTACAGATACTAACATTTGGGGGTTCTGAGACAGACACCAAGCATTCCAATGGTCGTAGGTTCATTTCTCAAAAACCACTGATGAGCTTAGGATCTAATATTACATCTTTATATTTGGATGTGTCAATGCTCTGACATATTATTTGGCTATACATTTTTTTCCACTTCTTGTCTGATGGCTAGAAGCTAAACACCCATGCTCAGCAACTCACTTCTTGGAAACAAATGACTTTTATTACTACTTTACAGTACTTTACAGTGGTCTGATAATGCATTTTTGCACTAATCGGTCCGACGATGCTAAAACGAGTCACCTGATCTCCAAATGTCACTTTCTTAATCATTCTATTTATGTCTAAACATATTGCTACTAATTAAACTGAAATGGTTTGAATTGCAAAATGTTGACCAGACTAGAAAGTGAAGGGACAATGATGTTTCGGTCCGTCCTGGACCATTCTCAAGTCGATTGCAAAATGTCACCTTAAAATATACATTTCTATTTTCCCATTTACATTAATTGTTGGATAAATATTCTAACCTTCGTCATGCCGTCAAAGAATGGGGGCCTCTTGATGTATGTAGACTTTGAGTCCCATGGGTAGAGCATTCCCTCAGGAGCCTCCAATTTATTCCAGCGATCATTTCCTGTTGTAATTCTGGAATAAACTTCCTTGAACATGGCTGGTATCACGTGTTCTTGCTCAACTGAATGGATTTCGGTACGTTGAGGCCAAATGTCCTGCAGGTACACTGCCTTGCCATTTTCACTGTGACCTGTTGAAAGAAATATATCATAGCTAAGCAAATAATATATGTACAGTAATTTACAGAATTGAGATGATTTTCAACATCTAATTCAAATACAGGGGGAAGGGATTTGGGAGGCTGTATTAAACTATCAAAGCAATATTTTTCACTTTTAAATTTTAGATTACATTACAGTACTGTGCATTAATGCTAAAATGGCCATATAATTCAAAATGTATTATTTAGGTACTACAGCATTGTAGTAAGTTTCTCAATAACCACAATGATGATGATGACAATGATAACAATGATTAGTCTCATCAAATTTAAAGTGGCAAGAAGCTTTACATATGTAAGCTGATTTTTAAACTCTCTGGGAGTAGTATTAACCTAGATTTGTAAAATATCTATCCATATACTGCACTATACAGTATTAATTGTATTAAATTCTAAAATATACAAAGGAGACCGAAAGTAAGAGCACAGTCCCCAAAAAACAACTTAGGCTGGACGGTAGAGCGACGGTCTCGCTTCATGCAGGTCGACGGTCAATCCCCGACCGTCCACGAGTGGTTGGGCACCATTCTTTTCCCGAACGGTCCCATCCCAAATTCTTATCCTTCCCTCTTCCAAGTTCTATAGTCGTAATGGTGTGGCACTTTTCCCAAGATAATTCCTTTCCCTTCCCCAAACAATATATGCAGATGTTAAATATGTCAACAAACTTACCAAGAGGTTCCTTTTCAAAGTCAATATCGACTCTTCCAGCGAGGGCATATGCAATGACCAGGAGTGGAGATGCCAGATAATTGGCCCGGGTGTTGGGGTGAATTCGACCTTCAAAATTACGATTTCCTGAGAGGACTCCACAACAAACAAGATCATTCTGCAAGACAAATATAAATGAGTTGTTGTTAAATTTTATGTGGTGTAACAGGCAAACAAAGACCATCAGACTGTAACCAAAAGATATGAACATATAACCGTCAAAAGTTTCAAAACGTTATATGACAAAGAGTACTGGGAAGACGGGACACCACGAGAGTAGCTCTTATCCTGTAACTACACTTAGGTAATTATTATCCACAGTCTGCTTAATTTTTGTTGTTTCTGATGATGTTAAGAGAATGAGAATGTAAAATTAAAGATATGACATTTACTCTTTCCACATAACACGAATAACATCTATCGTTTCATATCCCGTATTACTAAGCAACTTTATGGTACAGTGGACCCCCATTCAAATGGAAATTAGAGGCAAATGGAGGATGCCATTCCATAATTGCATTTAAGTTCTTTTGCTGTGAATGGGGTCAGGCATGAATTGATTTGTGTGAGTGGGAGTTCACATAAGGTAATGTTTTCTACTTGATTATCTAATAATATTGCTACCATATTTCAATCATTTGTAAATTTTGCCAAACTTAATAGAACAAAATTATTCTATTTTTGTTTGGATTATGATTAAATTCTTTGAATGTTTAATAATAAAATTGATATCATTTATCCAATTTTAATATGGATATGTTATCATATTAATGTACAGTACAGTAATAACATTCTTTAGTTTTACACCAGCACTCACCTTTTCAATAGCTTCCACAATTGCTTCTGGAAGAGGACCTGAGTTTCCAATGCATGTCATACAGCCGTACCCAACAATATCAAACCCTAGTTGTGCCAGGTAAGGTGTGACGCCTGAATGTTGCAAGTAGTGTGTCACCACTCCTGACCCGGGCGATAACGATGTCTTGATGTACGGGGCAACTCTCAACCCAGCTTCAACGGCATTTTTGGCTAACAGACCTATTGAAAGTAAAGTTGGAGGAGATTACTGTCACCTCAACTCATAAAATAACATTTGCAATACCTTTACCCAGACAAACCTTCTTTGTCAGAGATATATTTAAAATAACAAAAAAAAGAATTACAGGGTATACCTTGCCCTCCAGGACATTTTACTGTAAATACTGACGGGATATTAGGTACAGTATTCACAAGATACTAAAAGTATATCACTATGGCTGAATGCTTGTAACTCTCAAGAGTAAATTTATTATTTTATTTATTAACAAGAATGTACAATGGGTTTTTGAGATTAAATAATACTGTATTGGTATTTTTACATTCTTTCAAAGCTACTAACATGCACATCGTTTTGGGCAGGTCCTTAATCTAACATATCAGGTAAGACGAATAGGTACATTGTAGCAAAATTTTATATCAACATATAACTACAATATACAATACAGTAAATTAACAGAATGATTACACTGGCGAAGATGTTCATCCGAGTACCAATATTGGGGGAGTGGGTCGCACAAAATACAGTGAGAGTTTGAAGCATAAGGTAGGAAATTATGAGGATGAAATTAGGTACTTTTTCTGTTTTACCTTTGAATAAGGCATAGAATAAGGCATAGTAAGGCATGCATAGTACATTTTCAAATGTACTATGCATAGAAACTGCAAATGAAACTGAAAATGCATAGAAACTGCAAATATAAAATTCCTTCAGTAATGTCATGCAGTTGTTCCATGGATCTATTCTATGCAGGCCGCAACTGGTGTACTTACCAGCACCTAGCATTACGGAGGGGTTGCTGGTGTTCGTACAAGACGTGATGGCGGCAATCACCACCGACCCATGTCTCAGGGTGTATTCTTGACCCTCGTACACAAACGGAATGGTCTTGTCATGTTTGTCAGCTGGTAGGCCAAACCCCTTGAACCCAACCTTGGGGTAAATAGACACAATGATATATTAGTCAATTGCTACATACTTTAAAGATCACTACCAGGACTACTTACCCAATTTCGTTTCTACGTATTGTTTACTAAACAAAGTGCAGTAGTTAAATGCACACTAAACTAAGAATGATAATTGTATAATGTACCATACACTATACTGTAAATACAAATACAATGTACTGTAATTGTGTCACACCACGACCACGTAATTGTATACTGTAATTGTATAATGTACCATACAACTGTACTGTAAATACAAATACAATGTACTGTAATTGTGTCACACCACGACCACGTAATTGTGACTCCTTCTGAAGATGTATTAATATACGAAAGTACTTAAGGAAATTCCTGTTTCAATTTTCCTCTGTGGTCTGACACTGTCACATTTTTAATCACGTGTTTATTTTTCGTGATTTACACATATACTGTAATTGTATAATGTACCATACAATATGCTTGTATAATGTACCATACACTATAGTTGCATAATGTACCATTCACTATAATTGTATTATGTATCATTCACTATACTTATATAATTTACGATATGTTATAGCTGTATAATGCACAATACACTACAGTTCAATATTGTATCATACACTATAGCTGTATAATGTACCATACACTATAGCTGTATAATGAATCATACACTATAGTTGTATGATGTACCATACACTATAACTGTATAATGAATCATACCCTATAGCTGTATAATGTGTCATACACTATAGCTATAATGTACCATACACTGTAGCTGTATAATGTACCATACACTGTAGCTGTATAATGTACCATACACTGTAGCTGTATAATGTACGATACACAATAGCTGTTTAATGTACCATACACTATAGTACATCATAGCTATATAATGTATCATACACTATAGTTGTATGATGTACCATACATTGTAGCTATAGCTGTATAATGTACCATACACTGTAGCTGTATAATGTACCATACACAATAGCTGTATAATGTACCATACACTATAGCTATAGCTGTATAATGTATCATACTCTATAGCTATAGCTGTATAATGTACTATACACTATAGTTCAATAATGTATCAAATACTATAGCCATATAATGTACCATACACTATAGCCGTATAATGTACTATACACTACAGCTGTATACTGTATCATACACTATAGCTATAATGTACAATACACTATAGTTCTTTAATGTATCATGCACTATAGATCTATAATGTATTATACTTTATAGAACAACTATAGTGTATGATACATTATAGAACTATTGTGTAAATGTACAATACACCATAGCTGTATATTGTACTATATACAATGGCTGTATAATGTATCATACACTATAGCTATAATGTACTATACACTGTAGCTGTATAATGTATCACACAGCTATAATGTACCATACACTGTAGCTGTATAATGTATCATACACTATAGCTGTATAATGTATCACACAGCTATAATGTACCATACACTATAGCTGTATAATGTATCACACAGCAATAATGTACCATACACTGTAGCTGTATAATGTATCATACACTATAGCTGTATAATGTATCACACAGCTATAATGTACCATACACTATAGCTGTATAATGTATCATACACTATAGCTATAATGTATCAAACAGTATAGCTCTATAATGTACCATACATTTTTGCTGTATAATGTATCAAACAGTATAGCTGTATAATGTACAATACACTATAGCTGTATAATGTACCATACACTATAGCTGTATAATGTATCATACACTATAATTCTATGTATCATACACTATAATAATGTACTATACACCATAGCTGTATAATGTACTATACACCACAGCTGTATAATGTACTATACACCATAGCTGTATAATGTACCATACACTATAGTTCTATGTATCATACACTATAATAATGTACTATACACCATAGCTGTATAATGTACTATATACAATAGCTATATAAAGTTCCATATACAATAGGTGTATAATGTACCATACATTATAAACGGTTGTACAGCGCTCTCCTTAACCTAATGTACTGCATTAGGATAATAGTCTACAGCACTGTGCTCTGAAGAACCTACACAGTTCTTCACAGTACACAGCTCGATAATCAGAGTGTATTAACCAAGGTGAAGCTTCAGCTCCTGGATCCTGCCTCTGAGCATTCGTGCCTAACTTTTAACTCACTACCTCTCGATCTAAGAAGATCTTACAACTTCTTAGATCGAGATCTAAGAAGCTAAATATAAGTAAGAATAATAAGAAGCTAAATAATATAAGATTTAGAAGCTAAATTACTAGCTAAATATTGAATTTCCGACGAATATCCGTTAGTATGTGTGCTTGTAGATTCTTAAGAGTTTCCTAGGGTACGTGTGGATATGTGACCTGACCTGACCCCCAAGGTCGGTAGACCCCCCCCCCTGACCTCACTCCCAGCCGTCACGCCTCGGGGTAATGACCCAGGAGGTCAGGGCGAGATACTGCAACTGACCAGACTAATCTGGAGTGAGATCAAATCTCTTCCACCTGGGTCTTGACAATTGCCAGGGCGACCTATAAGCGCCAGGTTGACTGTGGGGTCACCGGTAGCCATCAGCCGCCCGACCTTACAAACATATAACATTCATCCTTATGCCCGCCCTATCACCACCCTCATACACCCGCCTCATCATCACCCTCATACACCCTCTTCATCACCCTCATACACCCGCTTCATCACCACCCTCATACACCCGCTTCATCACCCTCACACACCCGCACCATCACCACCACCCTCACACACCATCACCACCACCACCATCACACACCATCACCACCCTCACACCCGCACCACCACCCTCACACACCCACACCACCCTCACACACCCGCACCTCCACCACCACACACCCGCACCACCACCACCACCCTCACACACCATCACCACCACCACCACCCACCATCACCACCCTCACACACCCGCACCACCACCACCACCACCACCCTCACACACCCGCACCACCACCACCACCCTCACACACCCGCACCACCACCCTCACACACCCGCACCACCACCACCACCACACACCCGCACCACCACCACCACCACACACCCGCACCACCACCACCACCACACACCCGCACCACCACCACCACCCTCACACACCCGCACCACCACCACCACCACCACCCTCACACACCCGCACCACCACCACCACCCACACACACCCGCACCACCACCACCACCACCACCCTCACACACCCTCACCACCACCACCACCACACACCCGCACCACCACCACCACTACCCTCACACACCCGCACCACCACCACCACCACCACCCTCACACACCCGCACCACCACCACCACCACCACCACACACCCGCACCACCACCACCACCACCACCACACACCCGCACCACCACCACCACCCTCACACACCCGCACCACCACCACCACCCTCACACACCCTCAACACCACCACCACCACACACCCGCACCACCACCACCACCACCCACTCACACACCCGCACCACCACCACCACCCTCACACACCCGCACCACCACCACCACCCTCACACACCCTCACCACCACCACCACCCTCACACACCCGCACCACCACCACCACCACCACCCTCACACACCCTCACCACCACCACCACCACACACCCGCACCACCACCACCACCACCCTCACACACCTGCACCACCACCACCCTCACACACCCGCACCACCACCACCACCACCACCCTCACACACCCGCACCACCACCACCACCACCCTCACACACCCGCACCACCACCACCACCACCACCCTCACACACCCGCACCACCACCACCACCACACACCCGCACCACCACCACCACCACACACCATCACCACCACCACCACACACCATCACCACCACCACACACTACCCGCACCACCACCACCACCACCACCACCACCCACACACTATCACCACCACCCGCACCACCACCACACACTACCCGCACCACCACCACCACCCACACACTATCACCACCACCCGCACCACCACCACACACTACCCGCACCACCACCACCACCACCACCACCCACACACTATCACCACCACCCGCACCACCACCACACACTACCCGCACCACCACCACCACCACCCACACACTATCACCACCACCCGCACCACCACCACACACTACCCGCACCACCACCACCACCACCCACACACTATCACCACCACCCGCACCACCACCACACACACCCGCACCACCACCCTCACACACCCGCACCACCACACACCACCACCACCCCCACACACACCACCACCACCACCACACACCACCACCACCACCACACACTACCCGCACCACCACCACCCACACACTATCACCACCCTCACACACCCGCACCACCACCACACACCACCCTCACCACCACCACACACTACCCGCACCACCACCACCACCACCACACACCCGCACCACCATCACACACCACTACCACCACCACCCTCACACACCCGCACCACCACACACCACCACCACCCTCACACACCCGCACCACCACCACACACCATCACCACCCTCACACACCCGCACCACCACCCTCACACACCCGCACCACCACCACCACCACCACACACCCGCACCACCATCACACACCACTACCACCACCACCATCACACACCATCACCACCACCACCATCACACACCATCACCACCACCACACACCACCACCACCACCACACACCACCACCACACACTACCCGCACCACCACCACCACCACCACCCTCACACACCCGCACCACCACCACCACCATCACACACCACCACCACCACCACCCTCACACACCCGCACCACCACCACCACCATCACACACCACCACCACCACCATCACACACCACTACCACCACCACCATCACACACCATCACCACCACCACACACCACCACCACCACCACACACCACCACCACCACCACACACTACCCGCACCACCACCACCACCACCACCCTCACACACCCGCACCA